ATAATCTACTTTTGACTGTCTATATTCATGCCTTAGATGTACCATTTCCGGTGTGAGCGAATGTGGTGCGCTAATATTCAAGACTGTAACTTGTGGCTTATGTAGATTTGCATGCATTTCGGTATATGAACAATGCTAAAACATACAGTCAGATATGAATACACTGGGTTCCTTCACGAGCAGATGGAATATTTTGAATTAGCTGTGTTTTGAAGTGTTGAACGCCGGTCGAAAAAATAGTCCTCAGATATCCTATTGGTAACTGTCATGGTGCATCTGAACCGGGTGAACAAAATGCCCCGTCGCTGGTCGATCGGAATGATAGTAGCGGGTTGAAAACCAGACACGCCTTTTGGGTCTCCCTGCAAAGGTTCTTCAAACGCGATCCTAACTTGTAGATAATATAGATGAGATTCACTTATTTTTATATCCCGGTCAAAATGCCGCATAACAACCTCGCATAGCTGTCTCAGTTCGTGGAATCTGACGGAAAGTTCTTAAACGAGATGTGCATGTTACATATGACTATGCTGCGGTGTTATTCGGCCTCTTTGAAGCAGATAACTGACAGGCCCACTAGGTTGCTCTTTTCGTGGACTTTATTGGGCAAATTAGTGATTGAATTGTGATAACGTACCCTAGATTGTCAACTGTATCTTTAGTGCTAGCCTTGAATGCCAGACGCCAAAAACTAGACGCCCTTGAGTTTCATGCCTAAGAGAGGCGCCATTTTATTCTCCAAGATTGGCGTACACGTGTCAAAAACATAAGCAACGTTCGCTGCAATTCCTAGGCTGAAATAAAAAAAATCAATTTTTACGTTTATGTTGCGGAACATAATTCGAATTTTAGGTCGTGTCCGGCATTTGCAAACCTGTTCAAGCAAAATCCATGGAATGATACGGCAAGCTTGGACTAATCTACGTCATGTTGACCGTCTATATTGATTTTCTGACAATGGTGATTGAATAGTTCTTCCCTCAATAAAGGGAAGTTGCCTGGTACCTACGCGCATGGTGCGTAGATTTGAGCGGATGAATACACTTGGAGTGTGTGTCATCAATGTATACACCGATGGATGTTTCCAGGGTATCCTGTGTGTATTGCATTCGGATCATGAAACTGTTCTCACGAGTGTAGAAATCACGATTTTTCCGTTGCTGCTGGTTGGACATACGAGCCCACACCCCAATAGCGTTTATTCAACTCTTTTTTGCCAACACGCTTTTGTGCCCGAACTGAAGCACTGTAAGGCAGCAAACCGACATAATTACTTGAACCTTCAATCTATACCGTACGACACATTCATTCTCATTTACAGCACCTTCGCCGGTAATACTGGCGGCTGCTATTTTTACGAACCATGTTCTCGCACCTATAGTTGACCCCAAGAATTTCCATTAGTCGAAAGTTCAGTGGTTCCAAACAGTGCGACTCACCCCTTCACACGTTTTTCTCTCTCCTCTTCACAATGGAATTATTCACACCGCGTTCACCGACAATATGGGCAAACACTATCTTATGAACAATCTAATGCATGGCAGGACCGCTGGACTGAAACAAATCATTGTCATTACCGGATACATAACACTGGGGTTGTTATATGAGCTTACTTAATAAAACAACAAGTCACAAGGCACAACGTTCTATTTCTCAGAGGGGTACGGCCGGCATCTTAAACGCTATACCAGGACAAGGTCCACCGTTCACAGCCGGTTATACGAGAAAGAACACGTTTTAAAATTGCTGAAAGGGATGTAATTAATCTCATGGTTTAACTTTTGTGAGAAATCCATTGCATTCCATGGAAATCCGGTATCTCAATTTGCGCAGTGCGACTGAAGGGTTTCACAGCATCCCATTTCGGGTTTATTGAACGAAATTAGCTTTCGCCATGTTCACACCTTTCGATCGCAGATTATTTGCTACCATAGGGCATTGGTGTCTCGCAACAACAACAGTTTCGTGGGTTCACCAGTATGACGGATTTCGTCAACAACGCGTCTTTCTAACTAAGTGTTGTCAAAGGTCGTCCGGAGACTATGACCATTGCATTAGACAAAAGATTCTGTGCGGTCTTTCTACTCTTGTTGGAAGAGGGGAGATTGGGTGACAGGACTGCAGAAAATCCTTATAATTTTGTGGGTGATCAGACTTTGTTGAGTACAGTGGAATACCTGAATAAGAGTTTTCTTCTGCGGGCTAGTATCAATGAGGTCTATGATCTTCGGAAAAGTTTGCCGAATGGCGCTTTTCAAATAACACTACATAGTGTCTTGCGCTTTGAGTTGTAGCTCAGTATATATTTGCTTATATAAGCTTAGACAACTGCACTGGATCCATTTGACAACTGCGCGTGTATCAAATCAGGCACCCCGGATAATTATTGTTTTTGCTGCGGCAGTTGGTGATATTCATGGACTGGCGATTCCAGCTGTATGAGTTAAAATAACTTTTGTCTGTTACTTGAAAACCTTTATAGTTAAGGCTGCCCATGGGGTTCTACCAAGCCATTGCCGGGAATCCTTGACCCACTGTCTCATTTCACCTCATTTCTTACTTTCATTCACCTATTCCTTCATTATAAATTCTTATTTATCCCAGGTTCTCACCTAACGTGATGCAGATCAGACGGCTTATTAAAAAATCTTCAATCGTGCTGTTGTTACACTATGTTACTCAATGTTTTGAGACCCAACATAGAGGACTGCCCAAGTGCCGAGTTCTTCCATCGACATTCTACAGACTTCTTATCTGTGAAACCTCAATGTCTCTTTAAGACAATTTTTTGGAATAGCCTTCACCCATTTCTGAGATGATGGCCCTTCCGGTTCACAGGATTCCTTCTACCAAATCGTGTTTTCCGAGGAGGTTGACATGATGTCAAACAACATTCCTGGAAATGCACACGCTTATGGATATTACTTCCTTGGCGAATAAATGTACAAACCGCGAATAACCCTCTGCACTAGGTTAATGTATGAAAGCTTTCGCACATATTTAATTACCTTGGCTGGCACATCACAATGAGCTTTCTGGAGAATGTCAGTGGTGTTCAGTGCGAGAGATAGACGTTTGGAAGAGCGGAGCATGTGCGTGTGTGCTCAGTCCCCACAGGCCGAAACAGCTGATGTATGTCTGATCATGCGTAGCGCGTATGCGGCTTTTGCATCATTTTCAACTTCAAAAATCGGGTCTATTTCAGTGGCTAAGGTAAATCCGTTTTAAACGGTCTACGGAGTTTGCGTTTTGACAACCAACTTCCCGCTACTGGGTTGATCCTTATAGAATCTGAACGTGTAATTCAACTTTTGGCAATCGGTGGAAGTAAGGGCCGGGTGGGTCAATTTAAACGGTCTACGGAGTTTGCGTTTTGGCACACAACTTCCCGCTACTGGGTTGATCCTTATAGAATCTGAACGTGTAATTCAACTTTTGGCAATCGGTGGAAGTAAGGGCCGCTGTGGTGGGTCAAATAGCTGTGCATCAGCCAATATGTTCGTCAAACGTAACAACAGATAGACTGCCGCAGAACCGACAGCCAGCTGGCTTCTTGCAGTGTGCTCACCATAGGTACACGCTGCATACAAAATTGCAGATGGAAAGTTGCTCTATACCTACAAACAAGAACCTTGGTACTATGACGTGGCAACCTAATTGAAAGCGGTCGTTCTCTCGCTCCCACGGGTGGCCAAACGTAAACGTACTCAATCTGAATATTTAGAAGCTTGGCCATCCAAGTATCGTTACCAAGCGCGATTGTTTGCGTCTTGAATGTATTTTCCCTGATTGTTCAAGCTTCAACTCAATATTGACCCGTACGGTTTAGTTGTCTCGATACCCGCTAATTGAGGATTGTCTTCAATCACAATTTCGATTGTTTCTGGCTTTCCATTAACAAAGTCTCCTTGAAATAGACTTCCGGTTGAAGGAATTTCACCGAATACCAACTGCAATCAATGTATAGTGACTCGACCGGAATAATTGCAGTGTGTAGTTACCATTGAGTGATTTTCTGTTTGGTTGCGCACACAGTAGTGCTGGATCCATTTTGCTCATGAATTCCCGCCTACACGGATTCGACCAACCTTCGAACGTTGTCGATAGACCTCATTCCCTGCAAGGGTGAGTCATGCAGCGGGTACGGGTGTAGAATGTGTGTGTAGTTTGCTTGCACATAAGTCCTACATTCTCGCAGTTGTTACCCGTTCAATTTTCTGGGCGTTTTACCAGGAACCTGAGGCGTTGGAAGTTTTCGTTAAAGCGCCTGTTGTGAATTTCGCTTGGTATAAGTGCCACTTAAGCGCACAGAGTTTTTTACTCAGGTAATCGCTTTTCTACAATGGTTTTTAAAAAAGAACAAAGAACATTCGGACTATGCACTTGTTTACCTACATGGAGCGAAATATTACTCTGGCTGTAGCATCTCGTAGTAGCACTATTAAATATTATCATGAAAAAAGAAAACACGGACGTTTATTCCCATTAGATACGATAACGAGTGTGTGTTACCAGGTGTGGCATTTCATTTCCTGATTGTTGCATTTTCGAAAAAAGTCACATGAATTGCATTTTTAATTCCCATATCCCTCTGTTCGTATTATTGACTGTGGTGGAGGGACATTTTGTTTAGCGGCTTTATCCTTGTGATCTGCACTCACTGGGAACTACGGTTAAGCAAATGCGTGTCGCGGTATACTAACGAGGTAAACGCCAAAAGGTAGACAGGCGCTGGGGAAGCGCGCGTTAAATCTGTTTATTTTGGACGCAACACTGTCATCATACGTTTGCTGAAAACCCATAAACAGCTCACCGCCGGTCAAAGTAAGTTCCTAGCCTCAAGACTTTGTGTGACCTTCAATCCCACACACTTATGTCAACGAGGAACGGCATGAAACCCTCGATGTACATTGTCAGAAGATACACAGCTTCTCAGAAATATCAAGTTTAGGTTCACCTACTGCAAAGACATACATTTTCACTTTGACTTTTGAATACAGATATACGATTCAAAGTCTCGCTGGAACAAAGTCAATACGATGCCAGTTACTACGCGAAACCCGTTCGGAGACTCCGTCTGCTGTTCCCAACTGTGTGAGCGCATTGCGCTTATCGAAATAAGTCATGTTTGTCCTAGAAAACGCCGAAAATTACTCATGTGCACACAGTGTTGGAAGTAGGTGGCGCAAATGATCAGCCATTGAACAAGGTGATCAAAACGGCGCGTTATATCCTGGTTTAGTTAAAATTTGTACCACAGATCTATAAGATACTTGGTGGGCAGTTTTCCCCCACTATCGTCATACATGGTTAAGGCAAAGTGCAATTCACACGAGACGCAGAGTGTAAATTTCAGGCATATGAAGCTTCAAGTAAACCTGAACACGATGCCTCGCGCTTCGCTTCTATTTACGTTCTTGTACTGCATCAATCACCTTGCTTGGTTGGATGCCGTCGGTGTCCGCAATTGGTCATTCATATTTAACAACAACCGGTCGAAAAACTGGGTTGTCCACGTTGCTGGTACCAACAGTTGGCGAAATTATCACCGTCAAGTATATTTCCATTGTTTTTTTTTACAGTTTTGAGTCTGAAACGTTCATCAAAATCCCGCAAGAATGGGATTTCAAGGTGGAATTTTGAAATAATGGTACACTATCAGCTGTGTGCCACCTAATTTTCACCATGACTGTGACACTTCACTGGAGAAGGCGGTGGATAGAAGCCACAATTAATGGAAACACTAAAGGCACACACTGCGTAGCTTGTGTTGGTTTTCGTCAATATTTCCATGTCGTGCAGATGTATTTCGCTTTGGGCGGGTCGATTCACCGGTTATTACAGATGTGCATACCGTGATTCATGTTAGTAGGAAACCGACATCGTTATGTTAGGTGAAATCACTGACTGTGAGTGGAAGGTTTCTTTTAGATAAACAAAACAGTATTCCCACGGCCCCCGAACAGATCTATTCTATCGCTAATCAATGTGAAAAAATAACTTTATACTACTTGGTACGATGAAGCCATGCGAATTTGATTGAAAATATGGAGAGCCACTTTGATAAAGTTCCTTCGTTCATTCTTGACTCATTTTCATGTGAATCGCATGGAAAGTGTCACACGTTTGAAATCTACCTGTACTCATTTCTAAGATTCAGCTAGTAATTTTTTATTGCCCCTATGTTTTGCTGCTATCTTGTTATCTGTCCAGTGAAGAAACGAACGAGAATTTCAAATGTATTAGTATCGAAGTCAAGGGACGACGAGATGGTGGAGCTCCTGTACGCTTGCCGTTGTTTCGTCCAGAAGCTGTGTTCCACACTAGTCATTCAGGACTGGAATCCTGCTTCCTGGTCATGACTCCGTCTATAAAAAAGTTCTTCGTGAATTGACGTAAGTACAGGCAGGAATCATTGAGTTTACAACAGAAGCCGAGCCGAATTCATTGAAAATAGCAACACTTGCTCCCTGATCATGCAGACGAGAGCTGAAACACTGCTCCCTGATCATGCAGACGACAGCGAGCTGAAACACACAATGGTGCAGTACAGCAACCGTAGTGAGAATTTTAATCCTCATTACGAAGAAAGCGATGACGAATCCAGTGTAAAAACATGCTGTGCAA